CCCCCCACAGAGCCACCTCCCTCCCATACTGCTGCCTCTTTATTAGAGTCCTGCATTTGGGACAGAAGAATCCCAAACGCTGTTACAAGCTGGGGACCGAATGGCTAAGTAGCAGTTCTGCAGAAACAGACCTCAGGATTATAGTGGATGAGTAGCTGGATATGAGTCAACAGTGCGCCCTTGTAGCCAAGAGGGCTAATGGCATATTAAAGTACATTAGAAGGAGCATTGCCAGCAGATCCAGAGAAGTGATTATTCCCCTTTATTCGGCTTTGGTGAGGCCACATCTGGGCTCCCCACTAAAGAAGGCTGCCTCTGTAACAGGATGTGGACGTACTAGAGAGGGTCCAGCGGAGGGCGACCAAAATGATTAGGGGGCTGGAGTGCATGACCTATGAGGAGAGACTGAGGGATTTGGGTTTGTTTAGTCTGCAGAATAGAAGAGTGAGGAGGGATTTGATAGCAGCCTTCAGCTTCCTGAAGGGAGGTTCCAAAGAGGATGGAGAAAGGCCATTCACAGTAGTGACAGATGGCAGAACAAGGAGCAATGGTCTCAAGTTACAGTGGGAGAGGTCTATGTTGGATTTTAGGAAAAACTATTTCCCTAGGAGGGTGGTGAAGCACTGGGTTGGGTTACCTAGGGAGGTGGTGGAATCTTGATCCCTAGAGGTTTTTAAATCTCGGCTTGACAAAACCCTGGCTGGGTTGATTTAGCTGGGATTGGTCCTGCCTTTGGCAGGGGGGGGGACTTGATGACCTCCTGAGGTCTTTTCCAGCTCTATGATTTTATGATTCTATGACTGTGCATATCATCTCAAATCTCCTGTAAAGTAGCTGGCAGGAGCAGGTTATTGTAGGTGAACACTTGGTGGATCTAAATGTAACCCCCTTTTTCCTCTGTGGGTCACTCGGGAGCAGGTCATGCAGGTGTGCCTGGGCACCTGATTTGCTTTAACAGAAAAGGAGATCCTGAGTACCCCGGTGGTGATGTTGTTTAGTTGGGATTTCCTTATCCATCCCTTTGCGGTAGTCCCTTGCTCCTAAAGAATATACAATGGTAGTGCCTCCACCTCGCCAGCCCTGTACACACTTAATGGTGTGCCTTGGGAGCCTCCAGGAATAAAATTATTCCAGGAATAATCTGGAACTAACTCCAACACAACAAGTATAAATAATATATATATATCATTGATTAAATTAGAATTGACACATCTTTACTTAACTTAATAGCATTAACCTATAAGCTTTTACTTATCGGTTAATCGGCAAATCAACTACACTAATACATCCCTATCTTACCCTATCTTTTTCAAAGACAAGGTGCACTTATGTCCACATCCTGCATTTCTACCTAAAGCGGTGTCACACTTTCACATGAACCAGGATATCTTCCACCTGGTCTTCTTTCCTAAACCCCACACAAACAACAGACAGTGTGCACTTCAGTCTTTAGATGTTAGATGTGTGTTTGGCCTTTTATTTAGAGAGTACAAACCCATTCTGTAAGTCCCCACAGCTCTTTGTCTCCATAGCAGAGAGGATGAAGGGATGTCCAGCTTCATCCCAATGCATCTCATCATGCATTAGAGAGTGCTTCGATATTGTGAGTTCCAGTCCCAGCAATTATGGCTCGCTCCACCAGGGCCCAGGCACCCTTAACCACCTTCCTCGCTCAGGACATATGCAGGGCAGCGACTTGGTCCTCCATTCATACCTTCACCCAGAGCCGTCCTATCTATAGGTTGGTTCAGAGTGGCCATTCCAGGCCCCATACTTTGTGGGGTCCTACAGCAGCTGCATCAACTGTCCTATGGATGGGACCCAGGCCAGAGGATTACAGGGGGCCTGGCACAGGGCAGCAGCTGAGGTCATCCCCACCCACCCCGCACTCACTGCAGACAGCAGGAGCCAGAGTGGCCTGGCAGCCTGCTCCACTCTGCTGCCCTCTCCCAGCCCACTGTACTCAGCTTCTCCATGGCAGCAGGAAGCAGATGTGTTGAGATCTTTGAGATGAGTTGCTCGTATCAATTCCAAATCCCTACCATTCCTGAACCAACGGGTACCACTAGGACAGGGGTGGACAAGATACAGCCTGTGGGCCAGATCCAGCCCGCCAAGCCATTTGATCTGGCCCATAGCCCACCCTGCTGGCTCCCGCCGCTCCCAGACCAGTTGAGTGTGCAATGTCATTCACTGTTCAAAGCTGCTGG